CGAACTCAGGACCTTGCACTTGCCAGGCAGGTGCTTTGACTGCAGAGCTATCTCCCCAGCCCAGGAATATTTTTTTAAGCAAAGGTCTTTTCTTTTTCTTTTTCTTTTTTTTTTTTCTTCAGTTACATACTTAGGCTGACCTTCTTGTGGAGAGAAAAAAAAAAAAAAAAAAGCCCTTGACCTTTATCTGTTTAAACTGTCTACTTCAACATAGCTTTAGGTCACATGCAGTATGAAAGATTCTATGGAAATCCTGTGTACATACACACCTCCAGTTTCCCCCGTGTAACGGCTCAGTATCCCAATCAGCAAATTGACTTAGACACAAGATACAAACCACTGACCTTATTCAGGTTTTACTGCTGTTCCCAGCACTGTGTGTGTTTGAGAGGGCGTTAGTAGCAAACATTAATGGCATAGATCCTTTTAAAGCCAAGAAACATCATGGTTTCGACAAAAAAAGTGTCTCAGGCTGGGGGTGGAGCTCTGTGGTAGTCCTCCCCTCAGATAAGGCCCGGGGTAGACCTCCAGCACCACCAAAATATGAAATCCCTTAAAATACGGGTCTCTCCCTTAAGGAAATCATTCCAAAATCATTGTTTTCATTTCTGCTTTCTGATTTGGGGTATCTGGTGTGTAGCCCTGCCTGCTTCCAAGGCCACAAAACACACTTCCTGGCAAAGTTACTCTGTGTGCAAACTCATGGCTGCTCAGGCTGAGCCTGAGCCTCCGCCTCCTCGTCCTCGTCCTCCCTCTCCTCCTCCTGCTCTTGAGCAGGTATGTGCATACACACACATGCACATTTTCTGCGGCCTGCCTTTTTTTATGCCTGAGTACCTTACTGACAAGTGCTAATAACAAAATACCCAGAGTCCAGTTGAAGTTAACATACATTAAACATTCTGAACTTGTCCTTTTGCTCATAGATTGTGCATAATTAATAATTAAACAGTTTCTGTTGTAATGGGTTGACCTTCCTGAACTGTTCATTATTCACAAGGCAAAGGCATCACTCAAACTTCTTTCCCATTGTCCCTTGCTCTTCCTGGTGCACGGCAAGCTCGCGTTCTGGTGGCTTAGCGAGAGGGGCTGACCGGTTGCCGAAACCTCTGAGACATGGAGGCTGTCCTCCTAGAGGGCCACAATTGTGTACTGAAAAGCTTTATGGCAGCTGTTTTTATATCCCCATCGCCTCCTCTAAAACAAGATCCCGGGGCTGGGGAGATGGCTCAGTAGAATAAGCACTTGCCGGGCAAGTGCAAGGGCCCGCGTTCAATCCCCAGTTCCGCAAAAAAATAAAAATAAAACAAGATCCCGCTTGCGTCCCCTTACAGGCTCTAAAGTTAACTTGGGACTGGACTCCAGGCTGAGGCTTTTGGTTAAGGTTGTGTCCGCTCTGCCATTCTGCGCCACCATGCTTAGAAGTTCAGCAGAAAAGTGTCCCAACAAGCCCTTAAAGTGAAGTGTGGCACCCAGGGTCTTAAAGAGTGACTTTTATTAACAACTGCAGGTCAGTTTAAGCCAGTACTGAGAGTGGTGTAACTGCTTCTTCAATTCACGTTTATGTTTTTCAAATGCATTTCTCCAAACCTTATTTTACAGAGGACATTTTTGATAAGTAGCAGCAACCACTTTACTGGATTCTGTGGGTTTCCTGTGATGGTCCTTGGGCCCCCAGAGCCCCTCCAGGATGGGGTGGTTTCCTTCCTGTGAAGCTAGAGGCCACAGTTAGTGTGTACTGCCTTCCTACCTTCCATAGGTTTGAACTAAGTAACAAATAGGTTCTTTCAGCCAGGGAGATAGCTCAGTAGAATAAGCACTTGCCTGGCAAGTGCAGGGTCCTGAGTTCAATCCCCGGTATGGCAAAAAAATTAAAAAAAAAAAAAAAAAAAAGGTTCTTTCACATCCTGATCTGCACAACTTCTGGTTTCATTTTCTTTAGAAAGAGGAAAGTATGCTACAAAACCCTTCAGCACGGTGAACATCCTCAGCTGCCCTCCTTTTGCCTACGTACTTTTGTGGGCTTGGAAGCTCTTGGAGACCACTGTTGTCCAGGCTTGTGTGTGTTGTCTCCACCACCCCCTCCAGCCAGTCTTGTGCAGCTCAGAAAGTTTCTTCCTCGATGTGTGCGAGAGCTGTAGGTTTTGAAGGAAAAAGAAATACCCGGCATCATCCATGTGAGATGAGCAGATCCCCCCTGCATCTTTGATGAGTGATTCTTTGCAGATGAGATGAGAATCCACTTGCTGTGGTTCTGCTAAGTCGACTTGGGCTAGCGTTTTCAGAAGTGAAATAAATTATTCATGGGAACCACCCAGTGTTCCTTAGTTTTATAATATGAGAAACTTACCAGGCTACAATATCAGGTCTTAAATAAAATTAACTACCCATGCAGGATGTCACTTTTCCTGGTTTTGTTTCTCATCCAGGGTAAAATGACATCTTCATCGAGTCGCCTGGTCTATAATTCATCGATTTACCCTTTGTATCTTGCTCTGAAATGAAACCCACATTAGCATTATGTGCTATTTCAGATCTTGGAAAAAAAGAAAAACAATCCAGAATTTTAACCATCTTAGTAAATATCCAGCCACGTTAAAAAAGCAAGTAGGCTTTTTTTTTTTTTTCCTAAATATTGCATTTTAAGGCTTCTGCTGGTCAGAATCTACAATTTCTACAAACTTCAAACTATCTTTTTTTTGTATTTTTTTTTAGGGAAGGGTCTCCAGAATGTTCAGGGTCTCACTACTAGATTGGACTCGTAGTGATCCGCCTGTTTACAGCCTCCCGAGAGCTGGGATTATAGGACCGCGCCAACACGTCCAGTCTCATTCACCTCTCAGTGCGCTCCAGGGGCGGGACTGGCACGGCACGCCTGGGATCAAACCCCCGGCCCTGCACCTGCTTGTAGGTGCTTTAATCTGCTGAGCTATTTGGCCGGCCCTTTGAACTATCGTTTTACTCATCGTGTTTGAGACAATAAAATGTCATTTCTTGAACTGGTCCTGGTAACATCTCACAGGCCCAGTGATATAGATGACTTTCCTAAACAGGCCACCACTGAAATTGATACCATGTTTTATTTCTGCTCTTCAAACCAATGGGACTTCTGTGACCATTTTACAGCACCTTTATTGAGTGGCGGTCATGCGTTGTGCGCCGCGCTACTTTCGAGTAGCCCATCCCCCAGCCCCTGGCTTTCATGTTGTCTCTCTCTAGTGCCAGCGTCTGGTCCTTTGAACTTAGTGAGATTTTATTTCACTCCAATTTTCCTTCCTCCCTGAAAATCTTTCTCTACTGATGAGAATTTTAAGTTTAGAATACTTATTATTCTCTGGATGAATAGCATAAATTCAGAGAGGATGAGTATGCAAAAAAAAAGAAAGAAAGAAAGAAAAAGACACATTTTGTTCTTATTCTTCTATCAACCTCTTGGAGATGCCCCCCCCCCTTTTTTTTTTTTTTGGCTGGTTTGACCCTCTCAGTTCCTTCTGATTTAATTGTATTTTCCAGCAGTTTCCAATTGTTTGAATTGGAAACAAAGCCTTAATAAGAGTTCTAGTTAATTTTCTGTCTTGTAATTACCGATCTCATTTTTCTGATAATTGGCCACAGCAATTATATGTATATTTACTAATCACATAGGAGGCTGTGCGGTTGTATCCGTGTGCCGCCATTGATGATGGCACGCATATTGCAGAGGTGCTTTTATCATCTTCTTTTTTCCACTACATCAAAGCTATTTCCTCTCGTTCTCAATAATGAATACATGCATGCATCTGACACAGTTGTGTGCTAGAGAAATTGTTTGGCTCCCACCAAATGCTGCATGCTCTGAGTTTCTTGCCTGCAGCGCTGGAAGGTTGTATGTAATGATATATTGCTCATCCAAATGGCCAAAGCACTCCAAAGCACAGTGAGATTAAAATAAGTCATTCCTTTGTTAATTTAAATAGGTGCATGCATCATACTTTGCAGGGCACTTTGTGTAGGGATGTCAGGGAGGAAAAAAGGCGCCGAAAGGTATTTTTAATAGCAAATGAGAATAGATGAGAACAGAGCCATTTGCAGCTGCCTACTTTGCGTGGCTCTCTTGTTCCAACTGTAGGTCTAATGAGATGACTGCTAAAGTACTCTGCAGTGTAATTTCATTACATCCTGAGCTGTTACGCTATAAACACAGTGGCGCGCTCTGTCATTCCTGGAAAAACTCCCTAAATTCTTAAAGCCCTCCTTTGCAAATGGAACTGGGCTTTGAGCACGTGTCATGCACTTGTGCTCATGGTTACTATTTGTTGCTGGGCAGTGGCCTGCTTCTGTGGGTGTCTCCCTCCTCCGCCCCAGTTTTGGTTGGTCGTGGAGGTGGAAGTCCCTCGCTGTATCCTTATCCACCGGCTTCCTCCTCCCGTGAGCTGGCCTAGACTGGTGAATAGGCTCGATCCCTTTTCAAGGAACAACTTCCCTTATACATGCCTTTCTATTAAAGTGAGAAAAAAAATCTTAGCCACACATGTACCATCTAGGGGCAAGCAGTTGAGAGCAGTCGAATATACAAATAAATGTAAATAAACAAGAAAGTGTAAATAAATAACAAATCCAGTAAAAGCAACAAAGGTCAACACAAGAATAATTTCCCAGCTCCTTGTTAATTGCAAGACCATTTGTGTGTTACTTAAACAATCATTAATTTCTCATTTACACTTTCCCTACCTTCCTTCCTAGCCCGTGGCTATCATTGTCCTTTCTTCACCTCCTCTCTCTCTTTGCTCTCCTGTTTCTCACCATTGTAAAATGTGTGTGGCTGGAAATTTGGCATTTTCTTGCCTAAATGTGTGGAAGGAGGGTATAGCCAGCCCTTTCAGTTGGATGAGGCCTCAAGTCATTACATTCACCTTTACTCTGCCCCTCTGAAGGGGCTGGGAGGGGGTACAGGGTGAGGGGTGAATGGAAAGAAAAAGAATGGTCCTGACTTCTGGTGACTTGTTTTTCCTCCATCACAGGATTCGCCCGTCCTTCCGGTTGGAGAGTTCTCCGAGCCGTTTGTACATTTCATCACTCAGTGGTGAGCCCTTTTGCAAATATGCCATGCCCTCAATGTAAACGCTACATGCCATTAACTCGGCCGCTCCGGGAGACCTTATGGCTCTCCCTGCTTCCTTTTGGAGACGGGAGGGACTTTGGGGCCTTGGGCAGATGGGCAGCAAAGCCAAAGAAATTGTTTAAATTATGTAAACGTTATTTACACAAAGGTCATAAATGGACTTCCGAGGCTCCGACTATTTTAATAAACTGCTGGGAGTCAGGCTCCTCCTTCGAGTACAGGCACTATTGCTGTCCTGTTGGGGTGGGTTTTTTCCTAAGAAATGTGCAATTTTATAGCCCCTATTGAACAGACATAAAGCTTATTTTTATTAATGTAACCTCAAGTTACCCATAAAACCGCCTGTCACTTGGTGGAAGCAGCATAGTTTATTCATCGGATTTTCAGTAAATAACTTCTCTGTGGTTGTATTTTAAACACAATACTGGGGTCCCATTTTCTTGGATTCTGATGTTTGAAAGCCGATGAACACACAGTTCCAATGGGCCTACTTCATCCCGTCAGGAACCGAGGAAAACCAGGGATTTAGACCCAAGGGCCCCTGCGCCTCCAGGTAGCCCCTTCTCATTGTATACCTGAGGAAACACATTTTTCTGCCAAAGGGGCCTTTCTGGCCCTGGGTCTGGTTCCTCCCGGCAGAAGCATTCTCTTTTATTGGCCCTTTCCCCACCACCCACCCCCCTCTTCTGCAGGGCTCCTGTGGCCTCCTGAGGCCACTTCTGCACTGCCCTCTCCCTCACCCCAGTGTGGGGAATTACTCGGGAGAGCGGAGGAAAATAGGAGCACGGAATGACAGTCCCCAAAGCCAGAGACAGCCTGGGCGACCTTCTGGGCTCTTCATAAGCACCATAGCTCCTCGGTCCTCCCTGCATCACCCCCCACCCGGCAATGCCATGGTGTGTGCAGACCCTGCCAGAGGGAGCTGTTGGCCCTGGGGCGGGTGAGGTGGTGGTGTCAGGGACCCGGCTCTGCATTCTTCTCCTGCATGATCCATCTGATGATTATGCTAAAGTGAAGCCAAGAAATATTCCTTAATATAAATGTCAAGCGTTATCACCTTTTTGACTAAGTGTAATATGTTACTTCTTAATAAAAATGTCCTACAGTGTATATAACACAGGGAAAATGTGAGGAAGAACCCCTCCCCTCTTAAAAAAAATTTAACAGTTTCTGTTTATTTAAAGTACTTCTATAACATTCTGTGGCTTTGAGACTGTTTTTATACCGCAAAGTTTTTGTTTCCAAAGTATGCGATGCCAAGGGGAAAAAAATACTGATTAAACACTGGAATCATGAGCTATTTTGAAGCTCTTTTAATGATGTGGTAGCCAGTATTCAGAAACATATATTCACCTCTTAATTTCCCTTAAATGGAATTCCTAAAAACACTTAGAAGTACATCATGGGGGGGCTGGAGAGATGGCTCAGTGGTCTAAAGCACCTACTTGAAACAAGCTTGGCAAAACACAGGGACCGCGGTTCGATCCCCAGCACCACATGCCAGCCAGACCCGCCCCCTGGTGGGCTGAGCTGGCCACACACACACACAATAAATAAATGTAATAAATAAAAATAAATAAATAAATAAAATGTGTTTAAAAAAAAAAAAAAAAAGAAGTACATCATGGGAATGCCCCACTTTGCAACACACAAATTGAAAAACAAACCTTGCAATTGCTTTGCTGCCTACAGCCCTGGCTTGAGCTCCATCCTCTCCGGGCTCTAGAGACCTTGAGTTTGTGACAGCAGGGTCATCTCTCTGTGTGGTCTGAGACTAACCTGGGGGTGTGACTGGGACGGGCAGCCAGGAAGAAAAGTGGACAGAACTTCACTGTCCACCTATCCAAAAAAATTAGCCGTTATATAAAAGTTTTATGGAGACAGAGCGAGGGATAACCTGTGTTGAAATTTCCACACATGTCAAGCAGAAGCAGAAATGATGATGGGTAATAGCCTTGTTTCCCCAAGAGATACAGCTACTTTGGAATGTCAGATTAGGACTGTTACCAACTCCACTGATGAGACAGCTTGAATTGCTCGCTAATGGATGCGGTATTCCAGAGGTGCATATGTTTATAGGGAACACAAATGTCCTCAATGTTATTAATGGTTCATAACTACGGCTCTTATTTACCAAGTGATCATTAAATCTCTCTCTTTAAAAAAAGACACTGTCAGCAAATGAAGAGACCGCGTGGAGGGTTTCATTTCACGTGTCAGAGCAGGCCTTATGCAGACAAGGCATCTGTGCTCCTTTCCAAAGATCAGAGCAGCAACCTGTTCTCCTGGCTTCTTCATAGACACTGAGTTTAGAACAAATACAGCCCTAGAGTGCGCAGCTACCCATAAGCAACTCTGTCCATTTGGTCAGTGCTTTATTTCATACCTGAATACATGCCACAGCTACTAATTATGCCAATTGAATGGAAGGCAAAAGTATTTTGCGGGGCCGGGGAGATGGCTCAATAGGATAAGCGCTTGACTGGCAAACGCAAGGATCTGAGTTCAATCCCCGGTTCTGCCAAAAAAATAAAATAAAAAATAAACAAAAGTATTTTGGGTAAGGATTCCTTAAGCAGCTTAAATTTAGCTGTCCCGAAGCTGTTGAATGAATTGTCAGCTTGTAGCCAAGAAGAATGGAGGTAGAGATGATGTATAAAACCCACTTGTAATTTTGTGTCGCTATCTACCAGATTCGGGACCTCTGTTACTTTTTCTTTGGGAGTTGTATGGAATGAATGAGATGTTTTCTCATTTGACTTGACAGTCCTCTTTATTTTCTTATTACATAATCCCAGTTTTTAAAAAAGACATATATTGTTCCTAAATTTAAGATTGAGATAAATAGATAACTCAATCTGGAAGAGATTGTTGCTGCTATTTTTCCACATTAATTTCAAGTGTTGAATTAGAATAATTTTTTTTTCTTTTTCTTTTTTTTTTTGCAGAACCAGTGATTGAACTCAGGCCCTTGGGCTTGCCAGGGAAGCGCTTATTTCACTGAGCCATCTCCCGGGCCCCAAATTAGAATAAATTTAAATTTATCTTTACTGCAAAATTAAGTTTAAAATAAAAATGCTTCTGATTCAGAAGGTCCTCAGAAATCTAACCACAGGCCAAAATAAAAGGAAAGAAAGAATATAGATGAATACTTTGCCCAAAAATTGACCATTAGTGATTTAAAAACATCGAAATACAAAAGCAAATAATGGCGGAAATTAACTGCAAATAATTTACAGATTATATAGATAATCTGAGGGTTGTTTTTCCCCCACTGCAGCATGCGAAAACAGCCAAAAGAAAGGCCAGCACCAGAGGAACTGATGGTAAGTAAGTTTTCTTAGTTACATTAGAATTCTCCAATTACATACTTATGTAACCTTTTGTTAAAAAGATTAGCTTGGCATTTTAGCAACCCACCTTCCCTGGAAAGGTAACATCGTTGACTTCTTTCGGGTAGGTCTTTCTGAAGCTTGTGCCTTCTGATTATTGTTTTGGCTCTTGAAAACCTCACCACTACTTTGAAACAGAACTTCCTCCTTTTACCTCCCTGAGCATCACAAACAGCATGGGCCACTCTGTCCCTGCCTTCTGCACCTTCCAGCAGTCAGAGGCCCGGGAGCAGAGAAGACAGGCGCCATGTGAAAGCTGTTAGTGTGGTGTAACAGGAATGCGGGCTGTTGTGTGGCGTCCTCTCGGATTCATTTGGCAGTGAGATGAGCTGACGGCATAAGATTGAGTTACTGCCCATCTTTGGTCTTTCCTCAGACACGACAGGGCCACAAGTACGGTGTTCTTAGTTTTGAGGGAGCTTGCTTTGATTGCAAATGACAGTTTGTACTCAGGCCGGGAGAGGAACAGAAAGGCTCCCTAACAATTCCCAAATGGTCATTTATTTGGGGCAGATTGTTGATTTGACAATGAACAAGCTGTTAGGATGACGTTAGGATGGAGCATTAGTAAGTAATAATTACAGTCTCCTCTTGCCAGTGTTGTATCCCGCTCCCTGCCCTGACGTGCCACCAGCCTGCTGATTTTCTTCCATCTTTTACAGCTACCAGCCCAGAGGTTTCGTTCTTTGCATTCCTCTAATACTCTCAAATGCCCAAACTTCCATGTAACGCAGGTTTTAGCCTACGTAGAGAGTACTTTTATCATGTAGAGAACTCTCCCACTAAGTACTTTACTCCTTAGTATTAACCCTGGAGCAAGATCTCAGTTTTCATAGCAGTTTCAAGTTAAAGTTCACCACTGAAATCTCTGCAGTTTATAACTGCAGCTGTCACGTCTGGAATAAACTGGTGTGGGTTTGATTTATTTTTTTATCTCTTTGATGGTTGGGAAATTCTTGCAGTTAGTCACATTTGAGAAAACTTGGAACAGGTTCTAGAGACAGAGACCCATTTACCTTGTGCATTATTATGCTACGGCTGGGTGGCTCGGCTATTAAAACAAAGGAAGAAGGTTTCATAAAACAGATATCTGTTTGTAAATGCATGTCTCAGTGCTCTGATGAATTGGCCACTTATAAATAAAACATCTGCAGATTGTGTGCATACCCAGAAATGTGTGCAGATGTTTGTGTGGCTAAGGAACACCTCTCCAGGGTGGCCAGCCTTAAAGATAAGGCCGAAGGGCGAGCACTGGACTGCCTTGGAAGCAAGTGAATGTGATGTGTGTGTGAGGGAGGGAGGGAGGGAGGGAGAGAGAGAGAGAGAGAGAGAGAGAGAGAGAGAGAGAGAGAGAGAGAGAGAGAGAGAAAGGTCTTTTTTTTTTTTTTTTTAAATTTT